TAGCCATTTACCCTGAAATCCATCTACTTTAATCCTTGTAATGGATAGTAAGTCTAATAATTTTTTTAGACTATTTAATGTAAATTATTGGAAGTGAATTTTCTAAATGTTGCAGATTGTTTATGGGTGTTTGTCTGTTTTGATTATCATTGATTGTGGTTGGTTTAATGGTATTTGTACTGTAATTTTTAAGGGGTTTTTTGTATCTCACAGGGCGCCATAGAAAATGAGGGCGGGCCCTATAAAAGCTGGTAGAACCATTGTACCAATGAATGACTTGAACCGTTAAGCTGTTTGTCTTTAAGAAATAAACACTTAGTATTTCCCAAGGAAAGCAGACAGTTTTCACTGTAGCAGCTCCCCAGCATAGATGGATTTTGAATCAATTAAAGTTGCAAATCATGTCTTAAAGTGCATATTCTCAGGTGACACTTTGAAATTTGTGGACTTTAAGATACATTTACAACTTTAGTTGATTCAAAATCCATCTCTGCTGGTGAGATGCTACACTTCTCAATGTCCACTCCAATGTCTCAATGGTTTTGAGTCAATGTTTCCCAAATTTCTTGTCTTTTTATGTGCTCTCTCTGTCCTTTGCTTGTTTTCTTAGAGAGCAAAACCTACATAGAAAGTACAGTGAATCCGTTGTTGATTTACTGAAAACATGCACTGTCATGCACTGTGCGATTTATGGAGACTTACTTCCTCTGCTTTCAGGGTGAATTAGGCAGGTTGGCTGTTGTTTTGAATGTTTTTCACTTGAAGACTATCCCAAAGTGGAATAGACAGTAGCTGAGTGGTGCAAACACTAAAAATAGACTTGCAAACCCTAAAAAGTAGAAATGGAAATAGGTGGCAACCATAACATTCGCTGCAAACAGATAAATGATGTAAACAAAAAACATGATGCAAAAGGAAACATTCTGCAGTAACATCTACAAGATAAGAAAAGCTCCAAAGGACAGTGGAAGTGCTGCAGACGGTTTGGCTAAAACAGGATGCTGAGACATTGTTTGAAATGGAAACCTACCTTTTCTGTCCTCCCTAAACGTCCTCTGGACGGGCAACCTGTTTTTTTTCTTTATAAGATAAAAACCAAGTAATGCTTACGGTCAGTTTTCTTTCTAAAGGCATCAGATATTTCTTTGCACAGTTTTTACTCTGCTTTCAAACATCAGCAGCATTCAGTTCAATTCTTGATCCTTAAACAGGAAAACACTTCTAGTACCTGAAGCACTTGATGTGATTGCTGCAACTTGCAGGACAGAGCCCCCTGGGGGCTGAAACCAAAATAAGGAGGAGCAGACAGAGCAGGTCAAAAGAAAAAAGAAAGAAAAACTTGGATAAACTTCCCAGA